TTAAGTATGAGCACCAGGGGCCATGTGGCCTACTCCAGCAGATGGTTATACCAGAGTGAAAGTGGGAGCGCATCACTATGTACTTCGTAGTTGGGTTGCCGCGGACGTTGAGGAAGTTTGATGCCGTTTGGGTCATTGTTGACAGGCTGACCAAGTCGGCACACTTTATTCCGGTGGTAACTATTTACTCTTCAGAGAGGTTGACCAAAATTTACATTTAAGAGATTGTCTGGTTGCATGGTGTGCTTGTTTCAATCATATCAGATAGAGGCCCTCAATTAACTTCGCATTTCTGGAGAGCAGTACAAAGCGAGTTGGGTACCCGAGTAGAGCTCAACACAACCTTTCATCTGCATACCGACGGGCAGTCGGAGTGGACAGTTCTGATTCTATAGGATATGCTCAAATCATGTGTCATTGACTTTGGAGGGCATAGGGATAGATTCTTGCCCTTGGACGAGTTTTCTTACAATAACAGTTATCAGTCGAGCATCGAGATGGCTCCATTTGAGCCTTTTTATGGTCGGCGATGTCGTTCGCCCATCAGATGGTTTGAGCCCGACGAGGCTACGTTATACGACACTGATTTAGTGAAGGATGCCTTGGAGAATGTAAAGTTGATTCATGAGTGATTTCGCACAGCACAGTCCAGACAGAAGAGTTACGCGGATTAGAAAGCACGTGGTTTATCATTTATGGTGGGTGAGAAGGTTCTCTTGAAGTTCTCATCGATGAAGGGCATCATGAGGTTCAGGAAGAATGGAAAGCATATGTTTCCGCTAGCGAGGTAAATTTCTCCACTCTTATGGGATCAGGTCGTTCACCTAGACAGTGAAATAAACTACTCTTATGGGATTGGGCTGTTCACCTCAGCATGATGGAAAGACTACTCTTGTGGGATTGGGCTCTTATGGGATCGGGTCGTTCGCCTCAGTAGTGAAATAAACTACTCTTATGGGATCGGGTCGTTTGCCTCGGCAGTATGGTAACACAACTCTTATGGGATCAGGTTGTTCGCCTTGGTAGTTTGGGAACACTATTCTTATGGGATCAGACTGTTCGTCTCGGCAGTACTAAGTACCACTATTCCTATGGGATCTGGTCGTTCGCCTTGGCAACTTCGTGCTTAATAACTGGAACTGGATTTGGTTTAGTAACAATTGAGTAAACGCCTTCAAGGCCGATTATGACGTGTTAAGTGATTTGATATAGATTCATGTGTGGAATTATTGTAGTTACTTTTATTTTCTTCGTTGCTACTTGTTGTATACTCACCATGTCTGCTTTATGTATTTCTATTATTATTTGACCTCTAGTAAGTGTCAAGTCGACTCCTCGTCACTACTTCTTCGAGGTTAGACTAGATACTTACAAGGTACGCGTTGTATTCCATACTCACGCTATACTTCTGCACTGAATGTGCAAGTACTGAGACTGGTACTACCGGTGGTCATGCGGGCGCGTAGCCGATCCTTCTATGGAGACTTAGTGGTGAGCTTCTTGCCTTGCTACGATATGCAACACCAGAGTCTCCCTCTACCTTGTTTATTATTTCTCTCTATTACCTTTCAGACAGTAGTTGCATTAGTTTTGTATATTCTCTAGATTGCTCATGCACTTGTGGCACCAGGTTTTGGGGGCTTTTAGCATATATGTATTGTTGTACTTATTATTACTGTCATTACAATGGATGTATTTATCACCCTGGTATTTTTGTTGAGAAAAGAGTACGTATAATTGTATGAGATCTTACTTATTTTGTTCTTCTAAAAAGGAACTTTGTTTTAAATGTTAGAAATGGGTAATTAAATTGTAGTTTCACTTGTGGGCTTGCCTAACAATGGCGTTAGGTATCATCATGACTTATTATGGGTTTTGGGTCATGACAGATAACACCAAAGTCTACTTGAAACCTAACTTAGAAAACTGTAAATCCTTCAAGGTGTCAACTTTCGACAATAAGCACCGAAACGCTCACGGTCCACCCGAAATTCAATCCGAACATATGCCGACGTCCAAAATTATCATACTGACCTATTGGAACCTTCAAATCCCGGTTTCGAGGTCGTTTATTCAAAATGTTGACTCAAGTCAAACTTGGCCACCTTAGACCACTACTATGGAACTAAGTGTTCTGAATTTAACCCGAACCCTTCCAAAACTAAACCAACCATCCCGCAAGTCATAAAACAGTAAAAGCACATGAAAAACCTTATATAGGGGATTGGGGGTCTAGAAGGAAAAACGACCGATCGGATCGTTACAAGATTTTTGAAATATAGGATTGAAATTGTGTTGAACTAGCAAATAAGACAAATTTGTATTATATACCAAAATGATATACTATATGCTATTTTCATATACTATATTCAACTCAACAGTATACAATTCATTACAATAGTATAATATAACATAATAGTGTTGATTAATTAATCGTCTTTATTGTGTCAAACATAATCGTCTTGATTAACTAATGATGTTTGTTTCAACAGCAGGTGAAAACTTTTCGGAAAGTCAATGTCACTAGAGAAATCTTTTCAGTTTTTGCAAGAATTAATAGAAAAATAGTTATGGTGTTTGGTTGAAAATAAATTTTAGAAAGATTAAAAGTTATTTATACAAAGATTTCGAATACCTATATTCTTCCCAGCCCGACGCCATTGTATCAGGTCATGAATATAGACGTGTAATTGAACCAACTTCAACTTCACTAAAAGTCTCCAATGCTTTTCGAGTCAATATAGCATGCAAAAAGTTCACGTTTCGATTCTTTTCATATTAATTCCCTTTGTATCTCCGCTATCACACCTTAAATCTCTCCTTCTCTTACTGTTCCGTCATGTTTCAAGAGGTATACTACTATTTTAGTGAAACTTTTGTTACTATAGATAATGTGGAATATATAGGGAAAAAAGGTCTTCCAATTGATCCACGAATTAAGCTTTTATATGGAATCCTCAGAAATTGAAGTTATCATACTTCAATGTATAGTTTCTTGTATACATGCCATATTACAAGACAGTGAAACTTTATGTGTGTAGCTCCTGGAAATTGCAAATATTATTCGCAACTCTGCAGGTGGAGTCAGAATTTGGAGTTTATGGGTTCGAGATTCTAGTCAATTTAAGTTAGTGGGTTCTAAATTAATAATTTATATATATTTAATAGATTACTTAAAACAAATACAATGTTCGAATCAAAGTTACTAGATTCGGCGAACCCATAAGTTCTACTCCAGCTCTGCCTCGGGTCATGAGACTTAATTATTAGAATAATAAACTGTGAAAGCTCGGGTAACACCGGCAAAGGTTACAGGTGGTTAATGCTTTTTCATTCTTAACCAAATATTTCGTTTTCGAGTTCTAAAAATGAATTCGTTTTGATAGAGAGCGTTTTACGGCTAAAGTGGAGCTTCCTGTCACGAATTTAAATTAATCTGGATCCAAAGCAAGTACATGTCGAACATTAGGTGGAAAGTTAAATTTAAAGAGAAAAAAAAGGCTCGGTTAACATGAACCTATATATTTACCTTTTCTTAAATAATTTTATAAATATCACATGCGCGCGTCTCATGGTTTTAAAGCTTTCCTTTAGCATCACGTATTGCACGTCAATATGTGGAGCCAAAATCTTTTACTATAACTTATTTGTTAGTGCAAAACTATACAAGTACTTTTTAATTCTCTTTTATCCATTTTTTATTGGCAACTAGTATTATTTATGATCAAACAAGAGCTAATTATTTTATCTGTCAAAGGTTTTCATTTTCATACCCAACACCCAATCAAATCCAAACTAAAATGGGTGGAGAAATTAGTAGGAAAACCTTTATGCACGGACAATATAAATAACTACTCCCTCCGTTTTAATTTATATGAGCTAGTTTGACTCGACACGGAGTTTAAGAAAAAGAGAAAGACTTTTAAAACTTGTGGTCTTAAAAGTTTAAGGGTTAAAAGTTTTGTGGGGTCATAACATTTGTGTGGTTATAAAAGCTTCTTATTGAGGGTAAAATGGGTAAAATAAAAAGTTTAAAGTTGAATTATTTCCAAATTTAAAAACGTGACATTTATTTTGGAATAAACTAAAAATAAAAGTACCTCATCTAATTTGAAACAGAGAGAGTATATTTTAATCCGGTCATCTAAAAGGTAACTAAAGGCCGTGGCGGATAGAGCATGTAAATATATAACTATTCCTTCGAACCCAATATTTTAAATACAGAATGTAAATATAGATGTAAATAATCATTAAAATTTAAAAATAAAAAAGATATTACCCTTTGAATCCATAATTTCAAAAATTAAATAGTTCAATAGTAAGAACTAAAAGTTGAATCCATGAAATTAAAATCCTGAATCCATATCTAACTAAGGGTAATTGTCCATAATGAATTGTAATCAAGAACATAGAAAATCAGGTAAGGAACTTGTTACAGCAAGTTAAATTAGACCGATCGTAATGTGAAAAATTCTTCACGCTACAACTATACTATAATGTCAATTCAGTAAATATTCTTAACCAGTTGTAACAAAGTGTTAAGTACTATATTTAATTTCTTCTTCATTATAATTCATACTTACTACTACTATAAAGTATATTCAAGCATATAGAGTTAACCCCTTCTAGAATAATTAATCCAAATAGTCGCTCATCGAACCATTTAAATTAAAAATAGCCGGTGAAGATATAATATATGCAGAATTTATGTATTAAATATATATAATTTTATATAAATTATGTATATGGCTAGAAAAACTAAACCATAAATATAACCGGCTATTTGTATAAAAACCACTAACTTCTAAGTAACCAAAAAGGACACTACAGAAACTACAATATCAGAAAAGAAAAGTAGGCCTCTGGCCTCCCAAAGACGCAGGGAACGGATCACTGTCTCTTTTGAACCATCTCCCTCCACTTCACACACAGGCCGCAAATCCCTCCGCTCACTCCACTACCTTCCCTTAATTCTTATAAATATAACCTCATTTTATTTATCTCTCTCATACTATACACATTCTATTCTCCCTTTGAGCAAAAACACACTTAGAATTATGGCTTCTTCTACACCTGCCTTGAAAGATGAACTAGATATCGTGATACCAACAATTAGAAACTTGGATTTTTTGGAAATGTGGAGGCCTTTCTTTGAACCATATCATCTCATCATTGTTCAAGATGGTGACCCTTCAAAGACCATTAAGGTGCCCGAGGGCTTTGATTATGAACTTTACAATCGCAATGATATTAACAAGATTTTAGGTCCAAGGGCATCTTGTATTTCTTTCAAGGATTCTGCCTGCCGCTGCTTCGGTTACATGGTTTCCAAGAAAAAGTATATTTACACAATTGATGATGATTGCTTTGTAAGCTCACTTTCCACTTCCATTAATCTGTCATCTCATTCTAATCTTTTTTGTTTCTTGGTCTTTTCTTTGAGGTAAAGTTTTAGATGTTTATTGTTCACAAGACTATGTTAGTGATTACAGGAACAAAGTTTGAATTCTCTGTATTTTATGTGTTTGTAAGCAAGAAAAAGCTACTCCCTCATTTTATACGGTGGTGTCTGACGAAAGAAATATTGATACTACCTACCAAAAGTACTCTTGGGATGTTATAGTGATTTTAAACATGACATATTATTTCTTCGACTATAAAAGTGAATCGAGAGGTTAAAAATTAAAAGATTTTAGAATATAAAGAGTACAAGTTTTTTGTTCTGTAACTAATTTTCTTTCATTTTCATTTATATTTGTAATATCCAAGTTGTGTTTTACGTTTCATGCGGATAAATGCAAAGACTTATTTAAGCGGATATAATTTTTAGAATATAAAGAGTACAAGATTTTTGTTCTGTAACTAATTTTCTTTCATTTTCATTTTATATTTGTAATATCCAAGTTGTGTTTTACGTTTCATGCGGATAAATGCAAAGACTTATTTAAGCGGATTCTGATAGGTTCAATTGAATCTATTAGTTTGAGTTCCAACTATTTATACATGTAAAAAAATTAAAATGTATATTATACATTATACACACATATAAGAAGGTTACGTTCGTATCTTTCTAAACCGACTCCTTCTAGCTAGATCCTAGATAATCAGTATCATTAATTAATGGTTCACTGATGTACTCGTCATGATTGATATGTTCCCCTCAATCTTCAGAAATTTTTCTCATCATCTTCAGTATTAATTGTAACTTTGTTTGTGTTTGGGGAAAACTGGAAATCGGCGTAGGTAGCAAAGGACCCAAGTGGGGCAGACATAAACGCGCTGGAGCAGCACATAAAGAACCTGTTGTGCCCATCTACTCCACATTTCTTCAACACTTTGTATGATCCATTTAGGGATGGCGCAGATTTTGTGAGGGGATACCCTTTCAGCTTAAGGGAAGGGGTCCCAACAGCAGTCTCCCACGGCCTGTGGCTCAACATTCCTGATTATGATGCGCCCACACAGCTAGTCAAGCCTCTCGAGAGGAATACTAGGTCGGTCTCCTTTTCTTCTTTGATAAAAGTGATATGCGACAACTTAGATCCAACTTATTACAACTTTTTGTTTTAACTAGTGAGGAATTAATGTTGGGTGAACAGGTATGTTGATATGGTGTTGACAATTCCAAAGGGCACTCTCTTCCCAATGTGTGGTATGAATTTGGCATTTGACCGTGAACTTATTGGCCCTGCTATGTACTTTGGACTCATGGGAGATGGCCAACCCATTGGGCGTTACGATGATATGTGGGCTGGTTGGTGTTGCAAGGTTAGACACTTTATTTTTTCAGTTCTTTTACAGTCATTGAATTTAATTTCTATATCTAATTTACATTTTGACGTCACCTAGAACATAAATACAAGTAACTTTCCGTAGTAGCGATAGTATAAAATTCTTTTACGCTACTAGTATTAGTTCACAACAACAACAAAACGGAATAATAATATTATGCCTCAATCCAAACAAATTAGGGTAGTTATCTCCATTTAAGGTAATATTATGCTTTAAAATAAAAAAAATATTGTAGGTATAAATAAGTTAAAACCATAGTAATTTTGAATGAAAGGTTTTTTACTAATCAAAAAATTTTCAGGTTATCTGTGATCATTTGGGATTGGGAATCAAGACTGGATTACCCTACATCTATCACAGCAAGGCTAGCAATCCATTTGTGAACTTGAAGAAGGAATACCTTGGGATTTTCTGGCAAGAAGACATCATTCCCTTTTTCCAATCACATTCCTTCTCCAAGGATTGTACATCTGTGCAAAAGTGCTACGTGGAATTGTCCAAGCAGGTTAAAGAAAAACTGGGGAAAGTAAACCCTTACTTTGTGAAGCTTGCAGATGCAATGGTCACTTGGATTGAAGCTTGGGATATGCTCAACCCTTCTTCTAAAGATTCTGCCAAACTTCCTAATGGCTCTTCAAAATGAAATTATCAAAATTTATTATGATTAAACACGACTAGCAAATCACGTCGTACTCAATCAAATAATAGACACAATTGTCTTCCCATGAGCATAGTGGGAAGACAATCGGCCGTGTACTTTGTAGTATTACTAGATCTGTCATTTATAACCTTTTTCATGTTTTATTTAATCTGCATTTTGTATCCTTTTCATGTTTTATTTTTGTGGTCTAGGTCTAGCGATATTTCGACTTGATATGATGATAATATCAGTGGATGTAATCCTCTTTTATCATGTTATTGTAAAATTGTGATGAGCCATAATGTAAGTTTTCTACTTCTGGTTCATGCTAATGGTTCATTTCCGGTTTCCCCTGTTGTCTTTGACTGAAATATGGGAGTGAGATCTAGACTCTGCTTTCACTTCCCATTTGCTGTACATTTGTTGTTGAAGAAACTTTTGAGTTTTGTTAAAGACCAGCTCTTTGCCAACAGGCAACAGTTATAGTAGTAATTGCAGTGTTTAAATATTGTTATACTTTATAGTGAATTTAGCAATAGAAAGAACAATTCTATAATATATCAAATAAAAGCCTGTATTTGTATGGGGTGAAAATCATTTTACACCCCAACTTTATTTTAAAAATCAAATTCTCTCCTCAACTTTAAACAATCGATATTCTCCCCCTTATTTCAAATTCTAGATATGATATTTTTTTTTTTTTGAATTCTTTTCTATGAATTTCTGACTTCACCATTGAGAAAATATAACATAAATATATATTTAATATAATGTGCATTATATTATAATAATAATCATAAAAATAACAGTAAAATTTATAACAAATTTAGAAAATAATTGCACTATTTATAATCTTAATGAACTTAAAGTATACTTTATAATAATATGCAACATATTTTAAATTATAGGTAAACCATACAAATATATATAATAAAAAAGGCTTACATAGAAGTGGTAATTAAAAATGGCAAGGGCAAAATAGATATTGTATAGAATAAAGGGGATGTTTATTGTCCAAAGTTAAGGAGGGAGTTTGATTTTCAAAATAAAGTTAGGGGATGTAAATGATTTAACCCTGTATGTTTAAGTTCACAAAAAAAAGTTACTAACATTATGTGTGGGTGGGTGGGTGCATGAACACCTTGTAAAGAACATATTATAACTTACGCAGGGCCGAGAGGTTTACTTTGGGGCATTTGTATCTATACTCAGTTTTGGGGTTATCGTTAAAGTTATATCTGTTTTGCACAAAAAATTACAAGTCCACCCACTTTTTGGTTAACTTCAGACATGTGGGCTTGAAGTAATAAAAGTTTATGTGTGAAGTTTGAACTTCAGAATTTTTTACTTGAGGTGTGGCCTTATCAAAGCAAAACTTCATATATTTTTGCCTAAAGTTTGGCCTGACTTGCAAAGGTAATCAGACAAATTTCAATTCATAGTGCAAGGCAAACTTCAGTTCATAATGCAAACTTCAACAACAGAACAACCATCAGTGCCTCAGTGCACAGACTCTATTGTAAAGCTTCAATTATGTATGTCTGAAGTTTGAACTTCAGAATTTTTTTGTCTGCAGTGTGGCCTTATCAAAACTAAATTTTAAGTATTTTCGCCTGAAGTTTGGCCTGACTTACAAAGGTAATCGAAAAAACGTCAGTTCATAGTGCAAACTTCAGACAAATTAGTTTGTGAAGTTTTTCAGTTTGTAGTGCAGAATTCAGACAAAATCAGCTTGTTATATTTGAATTTCAGATAATATTTTCTGAAGTCTAGCATGGCAGTTACAAACTTCAAATAAAGTTTAACCTGGTAATGTTTGAAGTTTGGCCGTACAGTCCCAAAGGCATGAAGTTGTTCGAGACTGCCATTTTTAGTCCCTGCATTAGAGCTATTAGGTGAGAGTGTAGAGTATTGGTATAATTTATTTTTTCCATGAATCCCATCATCCAATCCCCATTGTTGTTTCGGTTCACCCCTACTACTACACCTATAAGCCCATTTTGAAGAGTTGCCCCGTCTGTTCCTTTAATTGTGATTTGAGTTTTCAAGTTCCTTTAATGGTGATTTTAATTCAAAACTCATACCCTAATGCTAAATCACTGTGTACTTCATATCCAATCAATAATACTTACACCGAATCTCATATGTTTGAGAGAGAAAAGAAGAAGAAGAAGAAGAAGAAGAGGAGGAGGAAAAGAAGAGGAGGAAGAAAGGAGCGCGACTGGTATAAAGTTGTCAAAATTAAGGTATATGTTAAATAATTTTAAAAATATGAGTATAAATTAAATTGGTCGCCGTTCAATTTTTACGTTTACTTTATGGGTAATTGGTCTATTTATGAGTTATGCGTATGTCCTTATATAGAAGAAAAGAGGATAAACCTAACCTTTCTTGTTAAATAGTTGCCAAAAGAAAATACTTAATGAAACTCAATGTGTATAGAAGATGAAAACAATTAAGAAAATATTAAGCCTCTGGTAGATCATATACAACATTATTCAGATGATAAGAGTGGAACTACTAATCTTTCTTGTCTTGAAAAAACATCATAAAGTCATTTGGAGGCTACTTTTGTTTTCTTCTTTTATTGGAGAACTATTTTATTTAATTTCATCCTTAATTTTACTTCAGACTCAAAGCTAAGGAACGTCTTTGGCTCGACTCAAAATTTCACCGATGTACCAAAATATCCAAATCCAATTTTAGTGTATTATACTAAGAGAGTGTTTGGCTAAGCTTATAAACTGGTCAAACTTGTTTATAAGTACGTTTTAGTTTTTCTACATGTTTGGTAAACATCCAAAGTGCTTATAAGACAAGTGCTTATAGGTTAAAATCAGTCATAAGACTTAAGTTGGTCACCCCCAACTTATGACTTTTCAGCTTATATGCACCTTTAGTTTGACCAAAACTTTTACTAGTTTATCCTTAATAATATTTTTTAATTTACAAAATATTTTTTTCAAAATAATTTTTTTAATTTTCTCTTCATTCCATATTCGTTGTTTATTATTTTCTCTACAAAGAAACTTTTTAATTCATAATTCTTTGTAAAACATTTAAGGGTATTTTAGTCTTTTTAACATGAGAACAGCTTATCGGCGCTTTTCTACCAAACATATCAACTGCATATTATCAGCTTCAGTACGTCTATCCAAATACGTAAATGCCTATTTAAAAAATCAATTTCAGTACTTAAAAATATTTTTCAGCACTTCAAGCTTATCAACTATTTATAATTAGCTAATCCAAACTGGCTCTAAGAATTGGGCCAATCCAAGTATGTTAAAAGCGCAAATGAGTAGAAAACCTACACAGTATAAGTGTATAACCGTCTCACAAAATAATTACCGTTAAAAATAATTATACATTCTAATTTGTAATATTTCAAATCAAATATCCAATAAGAAAGCGTTTATGCATTACATTCCACATTGTTAATTCCTGCAATACAATTCCTCTTTACTAAGCATTATATTGTACAATTTCTATATTGTAATCCCTACATAACTTGCCTTTAAGCCAAACCATCAACAAATGAAAACACTTGAAAACTCATACAACTTTGATAATGAGAAAAAACTCCAAATTGAGATATAGCTAATTTCAGTAATGATGAAAGAAAAGGTTTCCTAAGATCACATACCTAAGATAACCAATATATCATCATGTTTTCAGAAATATAGCAACAAATATAAAGAGAATAATTTACAATTTTACAAATTAAAAATTGAAAAAAGAAAGAAAAAGAAGAAGAAATAAACTGAACGGTGCAAAAAACAAATGTCCTATTTTCGGAGACAACGTTATGTGCAGCGATATAAATCCTTAGGGATAATGATAAAAAATGCCCCTCACCTATAGGAACATAGAACAAAAAATTTGCCTTCTAGTTGAATTTGATCTTAAATATGCTATTATCGTTAACGCTCATATTTGTCACTCAAAATCAATGAAATGTACTGTTTTCCAATCAACCCTTTTATTTTAGGGTCAAAGGTTTATTTGACTTGTAAGCTTATTGTTTACCCGTAAAACAATATAGTTGAATTTATAGTGTGGTTTATAGACAAGTGAATCGATTTGATCCCAAAATAATAAATAAATTAAATAAAATGCAAGACTTATCGTTGAAATCGAGACAAATAGCATATAGCTTGGTTCCGGGAGCTAGACTTCCGAAGGGAGCAATAAGAATAACGTTAGACAGAAAATAAAGTATTATTTAGCTTGGGAACAGTATATAGCATAAGTTTGTTAGAATTTTTGTCCCTTACAATGGTTGTTGAAATCACTATTTATAGTTGTACTTAGGGAATAAGGTCCTAGGATCAAGTCCCTCTTAAACGACAATAATGGGGGTCATTGATGAATACGTAACGACATGCCATGAATGCTAAAATTCTCTGCAATGGCTGTGTACTTAATACTAAGAAATATTCTTCATTAAATGTCATCTGGTGACAAATATTTATTCGCTCCCGTTGATTATGTTTCCTTTGGGGTCTACCCGGTGCCAACTGAGGTTGTTGTCCTCAGTCTTAGTTTTCACTCGCTTCATCTTTTCGTCCGCCTCCGGTTCTACGTGTCACGCTATTATTCGAGCATTTAATATAAACCGATTTTACCCTATACAGATAGTCCCCCTGCTTTCCGGTGGCACTTTGTTGTCAACGGGGTTGGTGAAGATTCCTTTCTTGGTAGGAAATGTTTTGAACCCTTCTGAATAGTTTCTGACGCTTGATAAGACGCACGTCTCCTAGCATTTAATACCCCAAACACGTGTTACTCCACGATTTAGCAATATTATTGTCAATTCTCGAGGTAATCATGGCCACGATTTTAGCCGCCTATTCCTTTAATTATATACCTCATTCTACCTACTCACATTGGGCTTAGGGATAATCAGGCTCGAACTGATGACTTCCACCATGTTCACTTCTAACAACTCCATAAACTCTCTCAACTTCTTTGCTTTTAATTTCCTTCTGCTTTCATCTCCCTTTGATCTTCTTCTAAAAAAACCCTTTTCACCTTCTTATTATTATGTCTTCTTATGCTAACTCTTCCAAGAACTCTGGTCTTCTCTTCGGTGGTGGACCGAAGAAAAGCAAAGACAAAGAGGTCGATGTTGATGTTGATCCTCCCACGGTAAGCACCATCATTCCCATGCATCTAAGCACATCAAAGGACTTCGAAGAGAAGTTCCCCACTTCAAACTCTCGTACTTGGGTTGTTGGTAAATATCCTTCTTCTATTCTCCCTTCTAGTATTCCTGCTGTAAAGAAAGACTGTGATTGCCACGACCTCAAGAAGGGCTTTACGTATGTTT